TCATGGCTCAATCTCCTAGACTTTCGGGTATCATTGGAGGTGGTGGTATTCTTGCCAAAGGTACCATCCGATCGAGCTTGGACTGATAATTGTATGCTCTGAAGGTTGTTCCATGTGGAATGAAACTTAGAAAAGAAAAAGGAGCCCATAGCAGCTGCAATGGTAGGTTCCAAATCGTCTGTATCAATTGCATTGCCCCTCGTGGAACGATCCTGTTTGGGTTTTAATGATAGCTCAAAACCATTCAACGACCGCTTTGCCACCGAGTCATCAGGTGGATTCGTGTTTTCCATGGACGATGGGCTTTCAGTTCCAATGGCAACAGTTGGAGCGTTGCTAGTTGGATAATGGCTAGCTGCTTTCGTTGGAGGCATGGAAGTTGTGGTGCTTGGCGTCAGTGACGGAACGTCAGATGCAACTGTGGAAGGCTTGGTTGTGGGCTGGATACTTGGAGATTTAGTTGGACCGATTGTGGGCTGGATACTTGGAGATTCAGATGGACTGACTGTGGGTTGAATACTTGGGGATTCAGATGGACTGACTGTGGGCTGAATGCTTGGGGATTCGGAAGTCTTGACTGTGGGATGGTTGCTTGGCAATTCAGATGGATTGACTGTGGGCCGGTTACTGGACGATTCAGATGGATTGACTGTGGGCTGATTGGTTGGCGATTCAGAAGTCTTGACTGTGGGCTTGTCACTTGGCGATTCAGATGGATCGAGTGTGGGCTGATTTTTTGGAGATTCAGATGGACTGACTGTGGGCTTGTCACTTGGCGATTCAGAAGGCTTCACGATGGGTTGATTACTTGGAGATTCAGAAGTCTCGTTTGTAGGCTGATTACTTGAAGATTCGGTTGGACTGGCCGTAGGCTGATTGCTCGGCGATTCTGATGGAATGACTGTGGACCAAATACTCGGGGACTCTGAGGGACTGGGTGACAAGGGTGGTCCAGTAGGCAATACTGCTGGATTAGTACTGTCACTTGCAGGATGATTCGTTGGGCTTTCGGTGCCGGTTGCAACAACTGGAGCGTCGCTAATTTGATCGGCACCATCAGTAATACTGGGCCGGTCAGTGACGGTGTTGAT